GGGGGTCGGTGAGGGGTGTCCCCGTGAGGTCACAGCCCCGCCGCGTGACGTCACGGGGGGCTGGCGGTGACGTCATGGCGAGCGCTGGCACCGGGGCTCACGGCGTCGCCGCGTCCGGCCGCGCTCCCCAGGGCACCGCTCCAGGGCTTGTAGCAGTTACCGGTTTCTCTGGGGAAACTGATTTTTCCCTCAGAATTATGTGTAGCGAGCGTTACAAAAAACCCAAACCACCCAGGTTTTGTAACCGTGAGCGTGTTCAGAGACGAGCAAGGCCCGTAACAGCTCCACCTGGTGACACCCCCGCAGCACAAACGCCTCAGTCCTTTGTTAAATCGCTTTTATGAGGGAAGCGAACAGAGCCCCGTGTTCGTGCTAAATTCACAGCAGCTTTGAGAAGAACAAACATCCTGTGCCTCGTAGATGTGACACTGTAGGCAAAATCAGCTGGTTTTCTCAGGGATTCCTGGTAACCATTACACCAGAGCTTAACCAGGTGTCCTCAGCATTTTCTCAGGCATGAAACATGTAAAAAGGAAAAATAAATAACTGTGCCAGACAATTCCTACTAACTTTCTCAATAACAGTATTTTGTAAAACCTCCAGAGGTCAGGTAACTATGCTTAAAAGGAAAAAAAAAAGTTATTTCTCAGACCTCCACACGAGGAGATAGGTTACAGGAGGTGGCTGGTCCAGACACTAGAAGCCACATCAATAATTGAGTGAAGGCACATTCACGTTGGAAACCAGAAACTGAGTTCCTAGGGCCAGCTCAAGAAGAATGGATGTACTTTAGTCTAGGAAAATGTCTGTTGTCTGTAAGGCCTGGATGCGTTTGTGTCTGAATTATATCTGCTGGACTCTCTCTCACATCAAGAGACTGAGATACCTGTTCATTGCACTAGCACCCAATTGGCTCCCTTTTCTTCCTTTTTTCCTTCACAGTTATGCTTCAGACGTACAAAAAATGCAGCAGCAAACATTTTTGGTTTAAAGCTTCTCAGCGTTCCAGAACATGTAATTGGGTAGTATTAAGGGATGAAATCCATTTTATAAGGATTAGCTGAGGATCAGAATAAAGATGTCTTTTGTCAGCTCTAAGTGTGACTCTTTACATTGTATTGTCCTCTCATGTCTTGAATAATTGTATGTGTAAATGAACCCTCTTGTTTTCTAGAGAAAAGAGCTCTTACTATAGTGTCCCATTTAACACGAACACAGGAAAAAAGAACATAATGTATTTTTTATAGTCAAGTCTTCCAGCAATTGCAGAACTCCACAACAGTTCTGCCTTACGGAACTGAGCTGGTGGGCTGGGAGACAGAGGGAACGTCCCTGCTCCAGAAGTTCCAGAAGACATTGCTTATCTTAGAGAGACAACTTTCTCAGGCTGTCACCCAAACTACCAGTTCATTCCCCGAATCCCTCCTCCCCTTTCTTCACTTACTTACTAAAGCATTGTTTCTCCAGCAGGAAGCCCAAGAAATCACTGTTCACTCTGAATATAGGATTGTTCTTATTTGGAGTATTTATTGTGGCAAAACAAATTATAGGTTTCCTTTAAAAGAATTTTTTCCATGTTTACGAACAAACGAGCTCTACATGAAGAAAGGAAAAACTTTTATCTTGTTTTGGAAAGAACACTGAATAAGGGCACATGCAAAGTTCAAGCAGTCTTTTAAATAGTTTCCTCTCAAAAATGTATCATTAGTTCTGTTCAGATTCTCTAGTTTGTAAACAACTATGTAATCAATGAAAATATATTTATAGCCTACCTTTAAAAAGAGATGTCTCCAGTATTAATTGGTAATAACAGTAAAATCATATGCAAGACAAAAATATTAGGATCTAGCATGCTTGTCCTTTAACAAGTTCTATTCCAAAATTATATTACATATATTAATTACAACCTTGCAAATGTTGTGTCATCTTAAATCTTTGAGAAGTCAGACAGTGTAAAAAATGATTAAGAAACCAGACAACCTTTCTATACTGTGAATGCTATTCATTTCAAACATGACTTGCTAGTAAAGTGCTGTTACAAGCAAAATGAAACAGTTAGTGTCTATCAAAAGCAGATGACATTTCAGTAATATTCAAAGTGTATTCGTTTTGGCAAATAGTTAAAAGCTTAGACACATTTGTTTAACTGCCCAAAACTAATTCAGTATAAATAATATTGGTTTCAAATAATTCTATCCTAAAAGGCACATACTAATGTTCCAGCAGTTTGTTCAAGTGAGCTTTTGCATGTAGAGGTTAAATTGTGCTTTTAAATAGTTACTGATTCAGTACGACCTTAAAAAAGTGACATTTGTGCATGTCTAAAATACCTTCTCACAAATGAATCTCACACTCTGAAGGTGTAATTTCATTAAGATTATATGTATCTATATAACTATGCTTGTTGATCTCTCTGGATCTACATAGATATACTCATATACATATATTCATACATACACACACAAAAGGGTATCTTCTGAAACAGCAGCAGAAAGTGCAGTCTATGCTTTTTTGAATTGTCTTCATAATAAAAAGTTCTCAGTACAGTTTTCAGATACGAATTGTCTTGGGATTTGTGAGATCCAAGGGGTTATTTGTGACACTGCATGTGTCCCACATTACTCTCCTTCCTTACAGGTTGCTTCAAGCTCACTTCACTTCCAGAAGAGATGATTGGCAAATTATTTTCCATGTGATACTGAATAAGATGACCCACACTGTCAAATATATGGTCTTTGGTTCTCACCTAATGAAAGACACAAAAGAGCACATTTATGGTTAGACTGTGCTTGTCACTGGTTGGATGTGAGCCTAGGGCAGTAAAGTCAAAAGGCATTGAAGCCACTCAACTCACTGGAGCAGGCTCTTTAGCCTGTAGACTGCAATTCAGACCTCTTCTTCGACATACAGAAGAGGTATTTTCCCCTAAATCCCACTGAGGATTACTTTTCTGATTTACTCTTCTGAGAGATGTCGCTCAGGAGAGCTCTTACAGCAGAAGCAAGTAGAACTGAAGTGGCAACAAACCAGCTCTACTTTTTCTGTATCCAAAAGTGCATTACTAATCAAAATAATTACTTAATGCTGGGGTTATTTTTCTAGCAGAATAATAATAACAACTCAAAGGATGTATTAAAGTGCATACACTAATTATCAGCACCTGGACTAACAACAATATTTAAGTACCTTGCATCTCCTTCCATGGTACTCCAGTGTTTACAAATTCATGAATTGAACTTTCAAACCTACTGAATTCACTGACAAGATTTAAATGAAACTGAATGGAATCAGATCGGTTCCACTTCCTGGAATGCATCCATACATTTTGACTGAAATATCTGAGTAGCCTTGAAATTTCAGGATATGAAATTTTCATACCTTGCCCTCAGGATCCACCAAGAGCAGATGCTTTGCTTGCCCTCCCTGAAGTCCACTGAGGACATACTGACCAGGTGACGATGTGCTCTCTCGCACCAGAAAATCCCCATCGTTGACTAAGAGGCTCTCTGCTGCTTTCCTGTTTAATTTGCCATGGTAACAATCTTCATTCTTTAGCTGTTGCTTTATTTGTGGCAGAACACAGAGACCAGCTGTGTTGCTTGTGGCATTCTGCTGAACAGCTTCCAGTAACTCTACAATTAAATGAAAGAGAATGAATTGGACACTTTACCTAGAATTTCATCCTAAAAGGATATAAGACAATATTTGTAACAGCTTTTAAATCATTCACATGGTTCAGTTTTCAAGCGGTGATCAAACCAGCCTTACAGACTGCAATAATATGCACGCATGAATGCTCACACCCTCCAGTGCATTAGGTAGAATTATCCCACCATCTCCTCCCATACCTTCGATGGGAAAGCCTTGGGTCGCTAGGCAACAGGGATTGGAAACAGGAATTTTTCTGATGCTCTACAGTTCTGGGTTTGTATTTCTTTGGTTGTATTAAAGTCAAATTTTCCCCTGTGAAAACAAGATTTTTTTTTACTGGGTAGTAGCCCTCCCCCTTTTTTTTTTTTTAAATCTAGTTTTTCCCTCTTCCTTAACAAGCTCTGAAGAGATTGTCATGGATCATTGGGAGAGTCGTGTTGAGTGGCTCCAGCTATGTGCAGGAATGTAACACAACATGGCCAACATAGCCAGAAGGAAAGGATTATGATGCATCTGCTGTGAAAAAAACGAACAATTACTGAATGTACTAAGAAAACTGGGTGGTTTGGGATATAGCCAGTCAGACTGCAAATTATTCACAGACAGGATTTTTCTAAGGAAAATAAGAGGATACTGCTTCTTCAATGGAATTGTGCAACCTAAGGGTCCTCAGGTTACAGCCAGTTCCTTTCAGAGCATATTAGAGCCCTGGGCTTGAAATGTCTTACTGGTCACAGATTCCTTTTACTGTAGTTCTGTCCAGTCCTTTGCCCACTTTCCTGTGCAGAGCCAGCTCTGCCACAGAAAGCACTCAGTAGGAAGCCATAAAAGGCAAAGCTAATAAACAAACTTTTTTCAATAATGAGAACAATCAGCAGGAGCTATATAGTTATTTAATAGATATCCACCACTTTGAGTCTGTGAATCAAGACTTAATTTGACATTTGATAGAGTCTGCTGATCAAACAGTTTGATTCAGAAATTACTGGATGAGATTCAGTGGTGGCTTATACAAGAATTGAGAAAAGATGGTTGTAACAATCCCACTTGGACCTTGCATGCCTGTGAAGCAAAGGCATCTAAGGCTGCTTCCACCTTAGAGTGGTTAAGATCTTGAGCAGGCAAGGGAACCCTCTTCCTTGAAGTATGGTGCAATCTCAAGCTGTTACATGATCTTAAAGACTTGCTTATTATTACCTGTGGGACACTATTCATTATCATCAGTGACAGAAGAGGTTACTCTGCTTGCTTACAATCTCTGCTTTTACTCCTTAGTCCCCCTTGTCTTGAATTTAACAAGCAAAACAACCAACTGGGAAGATTTACTCCCCCTGTCTTTTCTATACTTGATATTGCCAAAATCTTTCTCCATGCACACAAATGACAAAACCCCCTCTTCTCAAAGCTTAGAAAGATAAGGGAATGCAATGGGAACCTACTGTCCTGACGCAGGGGGCTCCCATGGGTCTGTGTTGTTGCTGTACCACGGGCTGTACAGACTGCAGACTGCAAGGTTTGTGTGTTGATGTAACAAGGGTCATCAAAAAGATCTGTTTTGTAGGCAGGCTTCAATAATGGTGCCTCTTTTTTTGTCTTCCGTGATCTTTCACCACAATTACCTGCAATTAGTATATAGGATGCACTGATTGCCTTTTTTTTTAAACTCAAGTTAAAAGAACTCTGAAAGCTGAAATAGGAACATTGTTGTTCTTATAGATGCTGAAGTCATTGAGAAGGAAAAGAAAAATTGGTGGATGAACTTATTTTTCTTTATGGCTAGAAGGCACAAGGTGCACTGTCCAAAATGAGCTAGAATGAACTTTTCAAAAATGTTGCATGCTGATCCAGCTCAGCTTCAATGTCAGTAGTAAACCCCCCACTGATTGAAAAGAAATTAATACATTTGACTCTACAGAGACACAAGCCATTGATGCTGGCTTTCCTTCCCCTCTGCACCACAAAAAAGCTTGTAGGAAGCTGGACAATTCTCTCTCTTGCTATTCTGGTGGAGCAGGGAACATGGAAGAGGTCGTTGCTTTGTGGCCCTGCCTGGAGAGCCAAACCACATCTGTCAGGTTAGGATCCAAGCCTCGGAACAGGCTAACAGAACATCCCCTGCAGTGCATGAAAATAATAGCACTTCAGCTAGCCAAATAGCATGCATATTTTTGCTCTTCAGCAAACCTTTTATTCATAGATCTATTCATTCATTCTTTTGTTTGTTCATCCTCTCTTTATAAAAACCATTTTATGCTCCTTTCCTTCATTCAATTTCTTGCGTTATTTGTGATTTAACTCCTGCAGGCAGTGCAATGGATCACTTCAGAGCAGCACAGGTGGGAACTCAAAAAGAACCTCATTATGCAGTGAAAGAGATGAGCTGAGGAAATGCACTCGGGCACCAGCTGTGGCAAGAGAAGCCCAGGAAGGGATGGAGGCTGGTGATCTCCTGGAATCCCAGAGAGAAGGGTTTGCTAAAGGAAAATTGATCTGGGACTCAAAGCCACCCAAGGCAGGGGAAGGGCACAGTCACAGTGAGAAGCCAGCAGCACAGAAACCAGGGGCACAGTCTCCCAGCCACCCAATGCTGATAGTTTGTGTCTCATGAAGCATTAGTATGGGGAAGGGATGTTTTCAGAGTCTGATAAGCAGTTAAGTATCTTCCTTTTTCAAAGGGTATGAAAGGGAATAAAGCAACGACGAATATGAAAGAGAAAAAAAAAAACAACAAAACAAAGAGCTACTGTACATTATCACGACAAGTAAAATGAGTAAGTCTGCCAGCAGGCATGAAGATAGATTAGAGGCCTTTAGAAAAGCTGTAAGGCATTTTTATCTGCCCTTCATCTAGGGAACTAGAAATGACCCACTAAGCAGAACACTTTTCACCATTGTATTGTAAGCCAAAGGGCAGCTCTTCCAGACAATCAGCCTTGGTTAAATCTGCATATGTATGAAAAGGAAACAGAGCACATACCCACAGTTCTGTTTTCATCTGGGCAATTTTCATATATATTGATGAATGTCGGGCTGCTTGCCTGTGGAAAAATTGTAAAAAACAGTCATGTAAAGGAGTCCCTTAGAAAGCTCAGGTAGTTTTAAAACATCCATGCACCAGTTAATTGGAATAAAGGTAACTAAACCAGAAAAAAATCCTAGTTCTCAAAGAATATTTCATGTTAATACTCTTCTTTCTACAGGGCATCATGTCTGGACATATTCCAAGCTCACAGAGACCATTAACTGCCTAGTTACGTATGTAAGGTTTAGTATGTAGAATGTAACACCTAGGTAATAAAGTTCAGATTTTCTTTTAAACATTCCTTGCCTTAAAACCAAGGAAAAATAACTACAGACATCATGGTTTGAAAGTGAAATGGTAACCGTGTTGTCTGAGCAGCATTAGAAGGTCATCGGAACTTAAATGAAAAACAAAGTAACACACTATGGAAAAAAGGCGTTTGCATTTACATACTGCAGGGTAACTCCTTGCAGCAGCTCTGGTGATCTTCAAATACCAACTTGAGAGAGTCAAACACCTTTTTAGAGAACTGCTGGGGAGGTGGAGACAAATAAAACTTGGGAGCATCAACATCTTAGCACCAGCTGGATCCCAACATCTGAGTGCACGCTCTCTGTGCAAGGCAGTGGTGCCTGCCTCCCTGAGCTGGGACACACTGGTGTTCCCAAAAACTCACTCAGCAGGTTTCAGTCTGTGCAGCCAGTCTGAACTTGGCTGGTTTTACTCCCCAGCTGGGTTTTATTTCCCACTATCCCAGACAACAGCCACAGATATCTACATCTTTTGCTGCTGTGGCTGATTTAACAGAGCCTCTTGAAACACTACAAGGGTAATTAACATTGTATATACATTGCAATCAGTTAATGTTGTATGTATAGGCTGTAGAGAATAATGGACAGGATGAAATATTTATCAGATCACAGCATCAGGAGTCAGGAGGTCCCAGATTTTGCAGATGTTCTGAGACAAGCCATTTAAATCTGTATCTATTTTTTTCTTGCTGCTAACAAGTGAACAAGGGAATATCACTTGGTCTCCTAAAAGTACTCTAAGGACAAACCAGTTAATATTCAGAAAGTGCTCTTGTATTCAATTATGTACTAAGAGTCATTAAATGTAGCCTAAAAACCCCTTTCCCAGGATACTCAGGACGTGGTTCTGATGTTATGCCATGTTTTACACCACAGTAACAGTTTATTACTCATCCACAGCAGCAAATAGTTATCCCAGTAGAGGATGTACTTACCAAGCACTGCTGCTTTTTGCACTGTGTTAGACAGTTAGCCCTTTGGTCTGTTTGCACTTTCATTCGCATGTCTAACACTCCACCAGTGGGAGGCTGACCTTGGAGTCCCAGCAATAATATAAACATTCCAGTGTTTTCAATCCTACCTGGACTACTTACTGCGAGTTAAAAAAACCTTCTGAAGGAAAAAAAAAAAAAAAAAAAGCAACTGATGTCATCATCTGCTTTCTAGTGCAGGCAAACATCCCCAGCGTTTGCACATCTCACAATACACAGACTCGCCATATGGAGGCTGTAAAGAGCTTTGGGCCTGAACTTTCAGAGCTGTTTATTTTTCCATTTACTTCTTCCTGAATTAAAAATGGCTTCATCACAGTTTGGGGTGAAGGGAAGTACAGTCATTCTTAGCCCCACGCAGCCCCCATCCCTTTTCTTTGAATTGAAAATACAAGAGCTACTGAAACTTCAAGAGAAGCATGTCAGTGCACTGTTCCTTAAGGGAACCAAAAGGCAGACCATAAAACCAATTCCTCTGGCTTCTTGTCTCAGCTGTGCAAGTCTAGAGATTTCTGGGGCAGAAAGATTTCCCTCTTACATGAGAAAACTAAAACCTCACAGCATTTAGGTAAATAAACCTGCAACTGTTCTAAAAAAAAAAAATCAAATACTGCTACAAAAAAAAAAAAAAAAAAAAGAAAAAAATAATTTTTATGAATGGAATGTACCCTGGTTTTAATAACAATAATCAATATAACCAGTCTGTTGTCAGCTTGAAGAAAACACTGAATGGCACAAAGGAGAGTGCCCAGTGTTTTTCTTGAGCCAAACCAGAATGATGAGAGTTTAAATGCACAGCTGCTGCACTGCAAAACAACTAGGTGCTTCCTGTGCTATCTCCGGTCCCGAAATAAAAAGCTCATCTCAAATCTTACTTCTCTGTTTAACAAGAATATAATTGGATAAAAGGCCTCGAGCAGGAAAGAGATAAAGTTCAAGTAGCTGATTATGTGATATGCAGTGCAAGTATTTGATTATGTGATTCATAGTAGTTTGGAAGCGAGTGACTCATTCACACAGCAATATCCGACTTCTCTGCCTGAAGATCATTTTCCAAGGCTGGCTGCAGGTTAGGTTCAAGGAGGGAATCTAATTAGCCTCCTCTATGTCTCCTTGCTCTGATTGACTTGTGGCATAACCTAGCAGAGTCTCATAGGAAAGGCCCCAGGAAAAATAGACCAGTATTAGCAGTGGAATGGCTTGAACCATTATATACAAGGAAATAAACAAACTGGAGCTGGGGCTGCTGTTCTGTCACAAAACCAGTTCTGCTGTAGTGTGTCAGGCATTGTTCTCACTTCCCCCACAGTGACTGTGAGAGCTCAGGATGCAGTTAAGCAGCATTACAGCTTTACCTGCTCATGGGAGCCAACAAGCAATCAAATTTGGCAGTACTGGAAAGAAAAGACTGAGAAAAATCGACGTGGCTAACCTATGAGGGGAGCCATAAATCAGAGCAAGAATTGTGTCCCCAGTGCAATGGAAGAAGGGCAATTGAAATGGGGAATTGCAGTTCAGAAATTAATCTCGGCCCTACATTTTGAGCAATGTGCAGAGAACAGGGTGTCACACTTTAAAATGCCAAGTGGTGGTATTTCAGTACACAAGGCTGAATTTAAGTTACATCAAGTGTAATCTGAGGCCACTGCCAGGACATGAGTATAACAGTAGAAAGGTGAATTACAATGGGGTTTTCCCCCATGACACATTTTCCACAGCTGCAGCAAGCTTAAGCTTGGCATAGGTCAGGACTGAGTTCTGGGTGTGTGGGTGCACGTGTAGTATTTATAGAGCTGACCTTACCTGGGCATAGTAATTTGAACATTTGTTCAACTTACTTGCATGACTTAAGGTTGTTTTAGCAAGGAACAACGCAGCTAAATTCTGTGTTACGCACCTGCACAAATGTCATGGAAATCATCACAGAATACCAAGTTTGAAGGCACCTCAAGGATCATTTTAGTCCATTATACTCTGTACATACAGCATATATTACAATTAGCAAATGTCCAGAAATTGTATCCAAAGCATCTATTTATGGATCACTGTTTGGAGTATATTGTTTTCCTGAAAAGTACTAAAGAGAAGGAAACCACCAGTTAAGGGGCCAAAAATGTGCTGACCTTCCATTACATGTAACCAGGCTAGATGGGTTCTTCAGGTACTGTTTGAACCGGAGCTCAAAAGCTTGGCCTATGGTGTTGATCACCTCCTGTGCCATCCCATTGGGACATTCCAGTATGTGGCAAGCTGCAAAGAGACACCTGACTTTAATAAAGTAAATGTACTTTATACCAAAAAAAAATAGAGAGACAAGCTATATTGCTTACAGAAGGAAAGCTGGACATGAAATGATAGCTTTAAGACATTATACAGACTGATATTTTTTATGTTTTAAGGAAACAGTTGCTCTAGGTATTTTTTTAGTCATAATATCAACCTATACCTCAGTAAAAGAAACTTTCAATTTGTAATTCCTGCATGGAGCGGCCCAGTATCTCCTTTTCTCTCCCTATCTGGCAGTCAACAGCAGCAGAGGAGAGAACTAGCCCTGCCAGTGGGCAGTCTTCCTGTGAAACAGCATTAAAACACAAGTATGGGTGGCTCTGGCAGCCTGGGGCTGGACCACACTCTTGCCACCAGTCCTTGTTCTCACACACAACCTCAGGAAACTCACTCCAGCAGTGAGTGCTCTGTGCTCAGGACCAGCTCTCCCTTCTACAGGGCCACCATGAGATGGCACTCAGGGATGGTGCTGGACCAGCCGCCAGCAGGATCCCAGGGTATAACAGGTCTGCAGACCCCAGCATCAACAGCAGGACTTGGTGAACTCGCAGGGTGCCCTAAGTTAGTCAAAACAGCAGTGATGGAGCTACAGAGAGGTGGCAGGCCAGACTGCAGGGCTTCAGCCCAGCTCCTCCAGAAAACATCCTGATTTTCTAAGCCATCCATAGCACCTTAAAAAGTGAGCTCTCCTGGGAGCTGCCACTATATCAACTTCATGGACTTCAGTACCATTGCTCTGAGAACTGTCTGGCACAAAAGAAGCAGCCAAAGGCCAGTCTGTCTTGTAGTACAAGCACGTAATGCGAGTGATGGAAGGGGATTTTATCCCCTGGGTTAGCCTCCAAAGGGAAAGAAAGTCTCCTACACCTGAGTTTATACCCAACTCTGCCTTTCAGCTACATACCCAAAAGTCTGGGTTAGATGAGGAGGCTCACAAACTACCTTTTCCCTCATCTGGAAGCTGTCCCAGAGCACGGCAGCCACACACCTTGCCAGGCTCTGCCCTTCCTCCCAAGACAAGACTGGATTGGGAAGGCTCCTACCTAAGCACCGAGCCAGCAGCTAGTACAGCTTTAGTCTGACCTGCAGAATCTCACAGAGTTGCACAAAGAATAGAACATTTACAGCCACAGCCTGCATACCATCACCTATATCCCTACAGGGAAGCCAGAAATTTTAAAGAATATTGAGCTGTTCCTGCTTTAAAACTCAAGCAATGCCTGAGTACAGATAAAGCAGTCATACAAATATGCACAACAGCCTGAAAATTGTTTCCATACCTCTCTGATTAACAGGGTCTTTTGCCACATATGCAACATAGTCTGTTGTATCCTGTAGGAAAGAAGACAACAAATATATTTAAAATTATAATTTTGAACAACCTTAACATCATAGCAAATCAACTGACTATAGCTAGAGATAGTTTTAGCTTGAAAAAGCATGTTTCTTTCAAAGAAAACAAAGGGCTAAAGGAAGGCTCAGTGACACACTGCTGGCTATTGACACAGTTGACTGTCCTAGAATCTCTTCCTTGTAATAAATGCACTAAGACCATTTGGCATTCTTTGGTCTGCAATAAACTGTGTTTTTCATTCCAAATTCAGTAACAGGAATAGAAACACAAGTGGTGCCTCAGCAGCAGGCAGTGCTGCTCCCACGGAGCTCAAAGCCTCCCCTGCATAACATGCTGGGGCTGCCCGACTGCCCGTTACAGCCTTTAGCTGGGACAGTCCTTATCAGCATCAGTGGAAGATAAAATAGTGTCAAAACACTGCAGAGGGCAAGTCAGAATATTCCACATTTTTAGCATGGAGATTGAGTTTTGAAGGCATCATAGAGGAAAGTTGATCTTTTAAATATTGCAGAATACAACAGTTATCTGATCTCTATCGCTGCTGCCCGATTTTAGTCCAGCTTTAACTAGTTTAAATTGCTCTGGACCCCAATGCTGCTGCTGAGATGGAATAACCTCTGATAATCAGTTCTCTTTTTGAGATTCTCTTTCCAGCCAACATTAAAATAATCCTCACTTTTTCTAGTGAAACTGAAAAGGGAACCAGAATAGAAAAATTAACATTTCTAGTCATACTGCAAGAGCCACTTGATAATTCAGTGTTATAGTAAGGTAATGAATAACATGATTTTAATTATTAAAGATGCATTTTGTTATTTTGGATCTTTAAGGAGGGATGGGGAAATGCAATTCACAGCTTAAAGGCATGGCTCTCCTGAGGGAAGATGCAATCAGCTGGCAGGAAACAAGGCCTCCATTTGCAATATGCACAAGAACAATCATTTAATAATTCACAATGAATGATATGAGAGGCAGGTCTTAGGGCCAGCAGAGCTGGTCCTAGATGAATTATTTTTTTTTAATTTCCAAAGTTACCATCATTAAAACAAAGCAAGCTAAATGTTTCTTATGCATTTAGTGAACTCAACTTGCTTCCTTTTCCTTTCAGGTTTTTCTTAGAAGTTCATAAATATTTTAGGATACAGTCTGAATATAAATTAGATCTAGAGAGCAACTGGAAATTAAAGTAACTGGAGCAGAACCTTTTTTTTTTTTTCCTTGTAATGTTTATGTACATGCATGGATGACTTGGCTTTCAAATAAAGCCAGAATAGGCAGAATGCTGCCTAGAGGTGCTGGTGCTGACTGCTTTTGAGACAGATACTGCATTATAGGGACTATGGAACTGATGCAATTTCTATGTTGGTGTGTTCTTATTTTTAGGTCCCTAAGACTAGGGGCTTTTGAGTCAACAGAGGCTCACTGATGGAGAATGGCAAAAGTACAGATATATCAGAGATCCACTAAGTCTCCTTTCCAGTCTCAGTCCCTCCGTTCTCTTGTAGTTCTGGTTGTGATCCAGAAGTGTGATTGATTAGTTAGTGCTTGTGGATAGAAAGGGATGAAGCAAAGTACTTGCAGGTACTTTTATTCTTATAATAATTTCATTTATACCTGCAGGAGTATATCTTATAAATCAATACTTACTGGGTCACCTCCCGAAGCAAATGAGATGGACTGCATGTGATGGTTGGCAATAATCTGAAAAGCATGACAAAGTAATTAAACATGCTGATGTGCCACACATTTAGAAAAAAAGCAAAGTATGTATCTTTATAGAACAAGCAATTAGATAACCTAATCCATTAACACATGCACATATAATTTGTGAAGGAAGGAGATAAAAATAGGAATATTTGACACTACCCTTTCATGTTCAGTAACATCTAAGTAATTTTCCTTAAAGGGTTTTCAGAACTAATTCAACCACCAAATTCTACTGGGTGCATTTACAAAGTCTTGAAAAAACTAGTTATTTTTATTTCTTTAAGTGTCTGGTGTACACAGCAGTAGTATTTTTATGGACAGGCCCCACCCATACTCTGACCACACTCTCTCTCAGCACTAACATCAAACTGTCATCTAGTAGAGATGTCACTAGCCAAATCTACTATCAACATTTCATGGTTTCAAACACTACATCATCTGTGGAGACAAACTGTGGGGTTTTTTTCTAGAATCAAGTGCAATAGGTTACACAGGTGGGAACACAGTGAAACACGGTGGCAACACAAGAATAGAATAAATGTGCATTTCCATTAGCAAAGGACTAGTAATGAAAGACCTAGAAAGAATTTCAAGACAGTCCCCTGCAGGCCCACATGTGGCACATTAGTGCATTTGGAAAGAGATCTGCTCAGCCAACTTTAGGTCCTGTTACAAACAGGAATAGGTTAGAAGGACCATACTTTACCTGCCAACCCCCAGGGCTTTGCTGCTGTACCTGAAAGGAAGGGAAAGCTGGTGCCATAGACCTTTCCTGGCATAAGGGCCCAAGGGACAGGAGACCTCTGTGCTCTGGTGAAATCCCAAGAGCTGCCTGACCCTTAGGTAGCATCAGCTTAGTGCTGTGATACCTCAGAGCCAGAGAGCCAAAATTATCTCCCTCATGTTCCCCTGCTCCAGCTTGGAGCAAAACCCACTGCTGGCCCTGGGCAAGATCATGCTGGGAGCTGAAGCCAACAGCTCATGGAGGAATTAGGTGGGCAGGACAAAGCTCCTCATTGCATATGCCAAGAAGGGAGGACACCCCTGCATCCAGGCTCTCGGGAACACATCTCAATGAAGCCCTGAGACTTTACACAGCATAACTGACTATGCACATATATTACCCAAATGTAAAATAGCTTTGAACGACACTAAAGCCAAGCTCTGACTCATTATATCAACTTCTTCCCTTAGGACTTGTCTGAAACTCCAGTCTGGAGTAGTGCCTCATTTATTAGGCACTGTACAGGCAGAGACACACACATGGAGAAACAGTCTGTGAAGTGCTTGAAGAGCCCTCCCCATAGAAGACACCATCATAAATAAAAAGGGCATGTGCTACATGGCCAATTCCTCTGCAGTGCTCTCATCTTTCAACTCAGAGGCATCATGTAATTAATCACAGAATCATAGAACAGTTTGGGTTGGAAGGGACCTTGAAGATCAACCAGTTCCAACTCCCCTGCATGGGCAGAGACACCTCCTACTAGACTAGGTTACTCAGAGCCCCATCCAACCTGCCCTTGAACACTTCCACATGCACAGCTTCCCTGAGCAATCTGCTCCTGTTTCTCACCACCCTCACACTAAAGAATTTCTTCCTAATGTCTAACCTAAATCTACCCTCTTCCAGTTTAAAACCATTACCCCTTGTCCTGTCATTTCATACCCTTGTAAAAAGTCCCTCCCCAACTTTCCTGTAGCCCCTTAAGGCACTGGAAGGCTGCTATAAGGTCTCCTTGGAGCCTTCTCTTCTCCAGGCTGAACAGCCCCAGCTCTCTCAGCCTCTCTTCATAGGAGGTGTTACAGCCCTCGCATCATCCTTGTGGACCCTCTCTGGACTTGCTCCAAGAGCTCTATGTCCTTCCTGTGTTGAGGGCTCCAGAACTAGACACAGCACAGGAAAACTAAAGGATGCTACCTTCCCATTGAAGAACCCAGCCTTTCCCTCAGAAGCCACAAAAGGAGAGAAAAGGACACAGATTCATACGTATCCTACCTGCTGCGTGTCAACATTAACCAGAGTGAGGCTGCTTGTTGAAATGGTCAGCTTTATATTCATGCCAGAAAACTGAAGGTTACTTTTGCCAAGCACTGAAGACAAAAACTTCACTGGAGGCTTTGAACAAAGCAACAAAATAAAGAGGGGATCAGCCGAATCTTTCAGGGGCAGAAACGTATCAAAGTCAAGCAGATTTTATTGTATCTTATTGAGACTTTCAATGGAGCAAGGATAATGGTTTGATCAAAGGCAATAACAAGTACCTTTGAATACAAAACCTGTAGGCATGTTTTTTTTATGGGAAAAGTTTTAAAGAAAAATTCTAGTGAGCTAAAAGTTTTAGCTGATTCAGTCATTCAGTAATAATTCCCAAGCCTGAACTTTGCTTCATTTCTTAGGGTTGAAGCATTTCTGAGTAAATTAATACATTTTGTCTTTTGTGTTGATTTTTCATGAACATGTTCATCCTTTCCAAACCCCACAGTTACAAATCAGCAACTCCCACTGGGGACAATCCAACAGCAACCACTGACATAACCCCTCACTGCATCCCAGCCATTAAATAAGTGATAAGCCCATTAAATGCTGCCATGTTAGTTGTGTGTCATTTTTTACCTATAGAAATAAAAGTTAGGTAAGATGAGTGAATCCTCCAGTGAATAAGCTCCATTTTGAAATTAAAAAAACCCAAACCCTCTGTCATTTTACCATTAAGAACCCAAAACTGGTCAAGCACCAAGCAATGCAAGGACTGGGAGGAGCAGGAACTCTGCTAAAAGCATTTGTCCCAAAGAAAATGCCCTGGGCCCCAAACTGAGCAGGTTAAACCCCCTACAAGCACTTCCACATTATACTGAATTCAGGTGGATTAACAAGCACAAACTCCAGCATGGACTGAAGCTTGTTAGGGAACCATGTATCCAGCTTATCAAAAGCAGATATAGAAAATTAATCGTTCAGCTAAAACAGTATTTACCTTCCTCTTTTTTATAGCTCCATTTGTACCTGACACGGCTTCACACAGTCGGCTTATTGCTTCCCTGCAAAGAGAAAAATACAGCACAAACTGTTGGATCATTTCACGTGCATCACCTGTAACAGGGCCAGCACCCTGTGATTTATTGTTATTGTCCCACTTCTAAATACTTAAATCTTCTGGAAAGTCTTTCACAGTTGTTTTTTTTTCTTCTTTCCTCCCATTGTTAAAAAAAAACCCAAACTATTAAAAATGACAATTATTTAGCAGCATAGTTTGGGTTAATTCTTTTTCTTCATAAAACATATCAATCAATTTCACCTAGTAAAAAGTTGTTATTTTTTTCAAAAAAAACAGCAGCTAACCCCAAGAAGCTCAAGCAACCTAATGCCTTTAAACCCTTTTTCTCACAGTTGGGCTGATAAATCTCTTGCTTGCCCTAATCCTTCTTATTTAGAGCAGCAGGGCTGGGCTGAATGAGCTCAGCTGGGTGCCCTGATTGCCCTTCTGGTGTTTGGGGTTTCTCTTTTTAAAAAAAAAAAAAATTAAAAATGGGGGTGGTGGGAAAAGGAGGTGTAATCAGCTTCTCCTGTTGTTTTTCAAATCTGGGGTCTCAATTCATATCTTCTGATCTCTGGCTGTAAGTCCCAAACCAGACATCCTTTCCAGCCAGCACCTCTCAGTTAGGAAGCAGAAGGGTAAGGTATAAAGCACTCAGAGCATTTATTAGTCTACATCAAAGACAGCTAAATGACACATTTAATATAACAGAGTGGCATGCTGTGCCTACTTTGCACCCTTGAACAATTAAATTTCTGACTGGTTTGGACATACAGTGGAGCACTCAACTGCCCTGCTTGGGCCCTGATTGCCCTCAGCACAGCAGCTGGAAAGAAACCTTTAGCTGGCAGTCACAGGCCTTCCCTGACTGATACCTACTGGTTTGAAATCAAGGGGAAAACGGTGACTTGCTGGGCTGGGATGTGCTTAACAAGTTTCCTTAAGCTTGCCCAGACATTCTGGTCAGAGCTGCAGACCCTGGCCCGTGCCATAGTGCCAGTGTCCCCTGTCACCCTCCCAGGCTGTGGTTCCCAGATGGGGTGACTTTATTTGGAGGCTGTAGCCTCAGCTTTTCTCTCACAGTTGAAATCAGACTTGGGCTTTCAAGGGTTGGGATTTTGTTGTTGTTGTTGTTTTTGTTAAGGGGAAGGGAATTAGTTTGTTTAATGCTTTGTTTATGTTATTGGATTATTATGCAAAGAACTAATTAGGAAACAAGCTAGTTAGCAAAGTTTGTCTGTTTTCAGTTTCTGGTGCATGTGTGGGAAGAACTGGTCTTTGTTTCCTGAGAGTTTTGGTTCAGAAAGGCATAAAAACACCAGGAGACCACACAACAGTGAGAGGCTCCAGCCACACATGTCCCACAAAGCAGAAGGGTCCTGGTGAGGAGCATGGTCCCCCCAGGGCCCTGCATTGTGCCTGGGGAGCAGATCAGACAACACATAAAGCCAGCACAGTGCTGGTGAACCACAGCATCTCTGCTGCCTCCTGCTCAACTATGCTCAACGTCCCAATGATGCGACATTAACAGGCTGTGTGCTTGAAGCACTGAAGATCAGTGATGCTACATCTAGTCTTCCTGTCAGAGAACATCCTGAGAATCTCCACCTGGACACTGTCAAATGAATGGACACCTCACCCATGGCAAAATAATAAAAATGAAATTAATATGTTCTGAGTAAAAACAGCAAGGAATTAAAGGAGCCTCATCATGGGCTATACAGGAAGGGTCAGAAACACAGCCTTTTAAACCCTGCCTCTTTTTTCCAGCCTTTTAAAGCAAACCATAACTGAAAACATGCTCTTGAAGTGAATTCCTGATATTCTTCTTGTCTAGCCCCTGTTTTATTTAGGTGTTCCCAATGGAAAGGCCAAAACTGAAAAAAAAAAGAATGGGAGAGACATCCTGCAGTATGATCTTGCAGATTCCAATAATCAGCTTGGAAAATGAGAGCTCATCTTCTCATTCAATATTAAAGGAAATTAAAATCAGAGCCAAGACATTAGGGCTACCTGGAGCCTCCAAGTCTAGCTCTACCTAGAAAGAAAACCAGACACGGAACAAATTGGAAAAACAGGGAAGTTGTCTATTTTGGTGACAAATGAGTTCTTGCACATTTCAGACAGCTCATATGTGAATTAAGGAGTTACAGGCAAAGTTTCCAGCAACAGCCCCCACTCTTGTGTAAACCAGTGTGGTGACTGCCCACTTCATCTCACTATGAAGCACTTGTCCAGCAAATGGGAACCAAAAAGCAGGCAAATCATTTCTACCTAATAGTTTCTATTACCTCTCTTTGGTAGGGGAAATCATCTTCTCACAGACACTTCTTGCTGCCTGTCTCTGGGTGTTTTTCTGGTGATCTAACAAACCTTCTTTAATATGATTTCAAAAGTTTCAAAAGCAGCAGTTTGGTAACACTTTGCTGCTACAGCTCAACACTTCTATCCTTCAGTCATTTCCATGAGACAGGCAGAATATGAACTCTGGATAAGTCCTTGATAAACTGAAATAGCATTTACTTTATCTGTGCTTTCTTCCTGGAAATATGTTTTAAATTCATTCTTACAGCCACTTGTTTTCAACCACTTTCAACCACTTGCTCAGGCAAGTCTCTGCCAGACTGTGTGTACCTGTCCCTAGCTCCTGTATTTAATCACCTTATTCCCTGATGAATGTGCAGCCTTATGGGTTCTGGCATTTACTTGTCCATTTGACATCCTTCAAATCTGAGGCAGCAGCAGAAAATGTGGCCTTCTCATTCCAGTCATGTTTCTGCTTTTTCTTTCTCTCCTCCTTCTCGTTCATCCCAAAGCAAAACACTTTGGGTTTTCTTTTTTTTCTTTTAAATCACCCTGAATGAGACAACTCCTCTGGCCTACTCTGCAGTAGCTCTTCTCCACCCTGGGAGCCACAGAATGAAACTGGGAGAGCTGTGAGGTTTTTAAATTGTTCTTGTAGTGTAAGGGACAGAAAATCTTGCTCCTTGACTCCTCAGGCATCTTCTGCCATTTGAAGTGGAATTGCTGTCCTGCAGTGCCCACACGATTACAGAAACTGGTCCCTTCTTCATTGACACAGTTTTCACTTTTTGTAGTGAATGGAAAAGATTTGAGTCAGCTCTATTTGCCATTCTCAAAAATATTACTCTGAAGCACTTTGCTCTCCTGGGCTGTCACCAGCAGCAGACCTACCACAGAGGCAGAGGTCCCACTCCTGGTCCCAGCAGATGCCCATCCACTGCAGGGGGAATTTCCCAGTGGTTATTCTGCTGGGCACCAGATCAGTGAGGATCAAGGCTGGCACAGTTCCCTGGGAGCACCTCTGTGGGACTGGAAGGTGGGATGGGGAAGCAGGACCATTCTGCTTTGACTGGGACACCAAGGCTCCTTAGCACCCTGCTGTAGGCAGCTCCCCACTTTCTGGCCTGGGACGCACTGACCTGGGACGTGTGTGTGACTGAGTGACACAGGAGCTGGTAGCACAGGGAATTTTTGGTTGCTCCACAAAAAGCCTGGTGCAGCCCCCAGCCCCGTGGGGCACTGCTCCCTCTGTCCACTGGGTCAGCAACCAGCCACCCAGCCAGGCTGTGGCCAGTTGGCAAGGGCTCAGCAAGTGCTGGGGCAGGAGGGAGAGACAAGGGCAGCCCCATTTGGGCATCCACAAGCTCTTAGCCCAGCTCACCTGTACAGGCCACAGGTTTATCTGGGTCTGGGCCTCTGGAGTGAAACCCAGAGCAGATGCTCCTCCCTGCTCCTCCGGGAGCGTGCAGGAGAGCCCAGCACTGGCGGGAACAGTGAGCTGCTTTGTTTATTGTTCCCCCAAATGAGAGTAAAAGGAGAGAGAAGGGCTGATGTAAGAGAGTAAGCATGCTGCTGAAGATTTGCTTTTAAGCATCTAGGGCTCTGCCTACACCATCTAACAGAAAGGGATTGTGAGTCTCAACAAAGTTGAAATTAATCTTCCAGACAAAGTCAGCTTTCTTCCACCAGCCCTCCCAGCAGCACGTTTCAGCCACCCTTCACTGCCTGAGCATTTTCCAGTTTGCAAGTAAATGCCCCAAACTGAGATACAGAATCCCTTTTCCCATAAATGCCCAAATGTAATTACTACTAATAAGCTTGATTTAACAGAAGAGATGTGGGAGATGTGCAGGAGAAAAAAGAGTGGAAAGGCTGGACAAGGGAAGCACATGTCAGGGTCCAGCAAAGGCAGGACCTGCCACAGCACAAGGGCAACAGCCCAAACATGTGCCAGGAACAGCAAACACAGCACATTTGTGGGTCACCACTCAAAAAATAGAAAGGCTTTCAAGCAGAGCCCTGTTACTCTTATTGTTATTTCTTGGTGTTACTCCTGTCATGCACACAGAGCTCGGGATCACAAATGGCTGCAACATGGGAGGGATGTTGTAAGAGCCTGTGAGTTGGGTCACAGATGGGCAGAGAGCTGGAAGAGAAAACTGCTGCAGCAAAATCTCTGACAACCTTCTCAGTGCACAGCCCCTGAGGGCCTAAAGCACCTCCGTGCCTGGCCCCTCTCTGCCACACTGTGGTCCTTGGGGCTCATGGTCATACAGTATCTCTGCATCCCACGGCCATCCGAAGTGCTGGAGAGGCCCCTGCCTGCCTTCACCAACCCTGGACCTGGCAAGTGACTGAAAATGCAGGTCCAGCAAGAAAACAGAAAATAAATCCTCCACACTCACCTCTTTTGACTCCTCATGGCACTTTGGCAAACACAAGTTTGCTGATCTTTCCAAAATTCATGTGAGGTAGGTAAATAATACCTTTAATTTTAGCAATCGGGAGACCAAGAATGCAAATACACATAAAGCAAGGCAGGGACCAGACATAATCAGAGACCTTTTCTACATCAGTTTAAAACAGAAGATGTCTCTTTGCCTAGTGAAATGCATTGGAGTAAAAATACTTTTTACCCCCAGTACAAATAACAGAGATTATTAAAATGGGATCATTTCCAATAACTCCTTGGTTAGCACATTGGTGCATTGGGCATGCCAGATATAAACATACTCCCCTGGGAGAACAATAGGGAAATAATCAATGTGATCTTTGCTCCAGTCAGCTTGTAATTGATCAAACTTTAAAGCCTGCATGCATGAGGTCAGCATTTCAGCTTTCAGTTTGCAAACAGCCTAAGTTTTAAATTTCTTGTGCACAAAAGAGCCCACAAAAAAAAGCCCATTAAGGTCAGCAGTGGCATTTTTTTAAGTGATGGAAATATTTCAATTGTTAAGTTTTCACATAGCTCTAGTTAACAAAACCTTACTGTGAGTCAAACTTAAGAGGCCAAGCTTTTGTCACACAGTAATTCATATTATTTTGCAGCCTTTGGGATAAGTGTGCTACATGGCTCTTTTTGATCAGTAAATGACTAGGCTGAGGGAGTACATTTGTATCTCAGGCACTTATTCATATACATGGGTGACCGCATCCTTATGCTGCTTATAAATGTCAACAAGAGCTGATTTTGCATATAAAACAAATCAGGCAGCTTTCAACTGCAGTTTATAAGCATTTAAGGACTTCAGTTTTTCAGTTTCTTCCTTTCAGCTGGTAGGTCTGCGAGCCAATAGGTAGAAATGTAACACTTTTCTCTTCGTGTTCCTTTCCTTTCTCCATAATTTCTTTGATATGAACACTTGAGGAAGCAAAAGAGCATCTGTAAACCATCTGCCAGCAGGAAGGAAGAGTTGGGCAGGCACAGGAAGCCTCAACCACACTCCTGGCATCCTCAGCATGAACCATGCCAGAAAAATAGCTGAGAGGAGGAGGGAACACGTCTAAGGCTGGGCCAAAATACTCTGCATCCACCCACCCCTCCAAAAAGCCTTTGGAGGTGCTGGGATGCCAGGTGGCTGCTGGGGCTGCCCAGCAGAGCACTAGCCCTGGCTGCTGGACCATGAGTGCATCCTGCAGCACCAAGTGCTCAGAGCTTTAAAGAGGGTATTTTGAAAACTCAAACACACCTGCACTGACAGCCCTATAAGAATAAAGGTAAAAATAAAACTGGGCTTTTCTGTTCCTGACAGACCAGCAGCCCCACAGGCGCACAAACTAATCATCTGCACCCAGTGAAGAGCAGCAATCTACAACAGAAGCTGCAAACTTTTCAAAAGACAAAAGAATATTTCAAGTTTAAGCCACATTCAGTTGTATTTGAGACTGAAATATTAGTGTTTTTCTGATGTTCAGCCTGGACACTTAGGTCTGGAGCACAGATGGAAATGGCTGTATTTCAACATGCAACTCTGCTTACAGCTGAGCCTGGCTTTGGTGCAGATGGGGCCAAGTGATGTCACCCACCTGATAAAAATTCATTAGGTGACCTTTCTAGACTGGGAGACCCATGGCACTTTCTGCATCAGGTGTGCAGCAGCAGGGCAGAGGGGCCTGTGAGCATCCAGGCGAGCCTGTGGCCTCCCACAGCCACAGCAGCAGGAGATCCCCCCTGCACCTGGGGTGAGCTGTGTGGGCACCCGTGGCCTGGCTGCTGCCAGACCCCACCAGCCAGGGATGTCTGTGTCCTGCTGCTACTGCAGGGGGAGGCCCTCTGCATCCAGAATAAGAACTGGGAAAGAAATAAGGTCTGTGGTTGAAACAATTAATTTTCCAATGCAAATAGGCTGTTGTAATGATCAAATAATTCAAATAATTGCTTGGGGAAAAAAAAACAAAACACAACAACAACAACAAAAAAACAAACCACAAAACATGCAAGCTTCTATTCAAAATTGTGTCAGAGCCTGGCACTCACCCCTGGCTTTATACAGCTATTAGCACTCAGGCTTTTCATTCTTGTGCTGAATTTCAGTTTAATACCACCTACCTGGTGACTTGTGTTCGTGTGCCAAAGTCCAGGGACCTCATTGACTGCAGCACTTCAATACAGCCCATGTACTAGGGAAAACAGAGGAAAAGGAGGAGTATGTTAATATCTAGCAAGCAGGTAAGAGGAGGATCACAGAAGGAAGCAAATGTGATTTCAGTCTTTTAAGTATATACAGAACCAAAGTCTAAAGGGAAAATCAAATCAGCCATCCTAAAGCTGCTTCCTAAATAGAGCTTGTTTTACTGAAAAGTGTAGAGAAGAGCAATAAAGATACCCATGGCTTTAACAACATAGCACAAAAAAAAAAAAAAAAAAGGTAAAGCACTCTGGAGACACGAAATCCAATAAATCCTTTTTTTCTCCAGTTCTGCTCATTCTCACTGATTGGCTTGTGGCACTGAGTTGGGAGGAATACATGAATGTTGGAGGGAAATTCCCCTGGAGCAGAGGGGCTCTGGAAGCCCTGCAGGACTGATGCCCTCAGAGCACCCGTGCAGACAAGCTGAGTGTCCCTTCAGAGCAGTGGGAGGCACTACCAGGCATGAGGAAAACCACTGGGTCTGTTCTGCTGCACAGCTGATGATAAATAACCTCTGCAGAAGATGAAGCAGGTAGAGTTGCAATTCCAGCTCATAGCAACAGCTCTTATGAGCCTGCACTATAAACTGACCTGCTTTAAATTAGAGGCTGCCTCCCACACTTCAGTTGCATGGGGCAGAGCTGGGGGCTTTTTCTATACTTGTTTGAGATTTGCATAGGACTGATTTTCAGAAACATCAAGCTTGTGATGGCATGTTAGGCCATAGACTCCCCTGATGTTATGTACAAACCTATGGAACATTTTCATCTCAATGAGGTGCACTAGTCTAAGTCTGTCCACTGAGTTTAACTCTCCCAAAACATATGTTACTAACTCCTTCTGTTGATAATAATTTCTCTGCTGCTGAAATGCTGACGTCTCCATTTCACCAGGCTGGCATAGGGCTGGGTCTCTCAGTTTCCACCCCACCACCCCTTTCCATAATGAATTCTGTTAGAGGAAAAAGGGCTTTGGGGAGCATCCTGCAGTGCTCAGGCAGTGCCTGTGGGCTGCAGTGACAGCCTGTCTTCACAGACCTCTCCTGCAGACAGTCAAAGCCTCTGGGATACAGGAGGCAGCCTGGAAATCCCGGCAGGACACATATGCACCATCCTCTTGTTCTGAATGGCCAGAGGAAGCATGTTCTGCCCAGAGAAAGGGACCTTATTTACCTCCTCTGCTTCACTTCGACCGTGAATCAATTTTTCTCCTGGGCCATTCAGAAGGGGTTGGATTTAGGTATCTGTTTCAGCTTTGGAGTCTTTCAGAAATGAATGAGTGTGTTAAAAAGAGAATGCATGTGTGCAGTCAAGCAGGGATTCCACAACAATTGTATTATCCCTATTTTGGTTTCATTCCAAATAGCAAAGTAACCCTTGGGAGAACTCCAGAATTAGGTCAGAGCCCTGGAAGGACATCAATAAGAATCTGAAGGGTTAGCAGAACTGCTTCCCTAATGAACATTTAATGACTTTGTAAAAGACTCTGAGAGCTACCTTACTTGTTAAAGATACTCCTGCTTAACAGGAACAAAGCAAATGTGGAAAATATGTCTAGAGCCTGAGCTTGTAGAACAGTGGAGACCTCTAATCCTACAGCATCAGGTCGAGCATCCTGTGAGCTAGCTGGCTGCACCTCCATCCTTGAGGAAAGAAAGATTTAAATGAGTAGGTGAGTCATAGGCTGATGAGTCCCCATTGCATCCTGAACAGATGCGTGAGAAGCTACTCCAAGGAAAGATGAAAAATCAATACTAGTTTTTTGCATAAGTGACCCTGAGTGAAGCTGAACTTATCAATGATTCACAAAAGACTTTTTTTTTTTTCTTTCTTTAAAAGCCTGAGTAGGGAAGTACATTACCATGGCACCTCACTGCATCTCTCGTTTATTTTAGCTGCTGTTGGTTGTCTAAACCAGCACAGTCAGTAATGGCTGAACCTTCACATCTCAGTAGGAGGGTACAGAGAACCAGCAGAGGGATGCCATGGGACTGGGGCAGGGGAAATCAGAGTCACAGAGCTGGGGAGAAGCCCATGGAGCACATAAAAGGACAATGGGATACCAGAAGTCTATTCAAGAAAACAAAATACACTCTCCAAGGAAGAAAAAAATAATTAACAAATAAACAATGATAGATTAACCCCTCCCTAGCTGAGTCTGACAAGCAAGACAATTGCTGTACAAGACAAAGGGAAAGGAAGGCAGGAGACAAGGGCAACATCTGTCTTGGAGACTTCTCCTGCACCTGGACTCCAGTTCAGGTGGTGCCCCTGCTCCCCATCCTGTATACCCCAAACTAGTGGGCTCATCCAGGGATACAGTATTGAGGCCAGCTTCCTGCTTTCCTCCTGCTGGGTGGGTTAAGCTGAAGCACTGGCAGGGCAGCAGCTGTGGGAGAGGAAGCCCCAGGAGTGCACAGCCCTTGCCCCAGCCCAAGCTGGGTGTTTCTGTAACATGGTGACAGAGGTGTTGAGGGTCCAGAGGAGGTGTCCAAAGAAAGGGGTTTTTCTTCCAAAGCCCTACAGTGAGGAGCAGGGCTCAGTTTCACTGAGGTGCTGAAAGGAAGCCAGAGGAAGCTGCACATAGGTGTGAGGCTGCTGTACCCAGCCCAGGGCAACAAGCACAGACACAATTGCAGAATTCAGCTGCCTACAAAGAATAAAATACCAACACTGAAACAAGCTGAGCACTGAAGACTTGACATCACCAATGAAGGCAGATGCTGAACCCACTGATCTGTCAGTAGCAGGATGGAAAGCTCTTGCTAGGACAAGTGAAAGCTCTTGGGAGGAAGAGGAGTGAGTGATGCACTGGCCCCTGCTGGAAAGGGAAGGGCTCCTCTAATGGCACCAGGCATGGAGCTGTCCCTGTTTCCCTGCAAAGGGCTGGGGAGAGAGCGTGGGCACAGGGGGAGCTTCATCCCTCCCTGCTTGAATCCAGAGGGTGATCTGGGGCTGGCTGCTGCTCCCCACACTGCTGGCATGGCTGGGGTGTGGGGGAGGAGAGAAGGCAGGTTACTGAAGATACACACATCTTTTCACTTCTATTTAGAAGAGATGATAGAGAGTGACTGAAAACAGGATGGGAGACTGTGTAGGAGGAGATGTGAAGATGCAAGGCAGGGCCTGTGTGAATAAGCTTTTCAGGCACCCTCTAATCCAGACCCATGTCTCATTTCATTCCCTGCCATAACACAGTTAGTGGCTCCAGCTCCGGCTTGAATGACAGACAGTGATTCACCCACAGGAATGATACAGGGAGCAGGGCATGGAGCTCCTAATTAAACAACACAGCTGCAGCCTTCCAATTTTACCTATTAGTTAACAGGCATCCATTCATGCAGAATGCCAAGGGCAGCTCCTACAGACCCTGGGGCCGTGTAACAAAGAATCAAAGGGACAGGATTTGCTCACAGAGGCAGTCAGGAAACATGCTGCTGCTAAACAGCCTCTGTCCAAACATATGTGAGACTACATTCAAATTCCCTAAAAACATAACACAGGCCCCTGGGCAGGAACCTGCCACGAGCAGCCATGCTCTGTGTGCATGAGTATGGCAGGGAGCTGACTCCCATGGAAGCATTTCTCTTCCCAGCACTGCTTTAACAAGGTGCTTTTGAAGCAGGGGGAAAACCTTTTCTGAGCTTCCCACCACCCTCCTTCCTTGAGGGCAAAGGCTGCCCAGGGCAGGTACTGCCTGCAGAGAGGTTGCAGCTCTGAGGTGCAGGGCAGGGGCTGCAGAGCAACAGGAGAGTTTCACTTAGATATCCTTTAATATCTCACTTATAGTTGGGAAGGGATCTGGCAGGAAGGGAGACAGGGCAGAAGCAAGCAACAGCCACTGGCACATGACAGGATGATTGCATTGGAGATACAAGGAGACAGACTTTTGCCCTTTATGTTAAAGAAAAATTACTTTTGCTTGTAACAGCTGAAGTGCCACCTCCCTGTGGCTAGCTGCTGGGCTCAGGGACATGCTTCCCTGTGTTGCAGCACCTGATCTGAGATCTCCTTGCTTTCACCCTGGTGGGAAGTAAAGCACTGGCCTCCCTCCACAGACAACACCGGGAGTCAGCCAGGGATGCAAGGAAGGAGCAATGCAGATCACTAGTTTTGGTGGGGAAGGTTTCTCAGCCCTTCCTTACACACTGCCTCTGGGGGCTTTGGGGTTGAAAAGCCATGGTGTCCACTGGAAAGCAGAGACCACCACAGCTCCTTTGGGAGTAGCACTGCATCCCTGGCAGCTGACACGATGCTGCCATTGAGCCAGTCAGCTTGGCTGCTCATCCTGCAACACACAGCAGCCTTTTACCAGGCTGGGGCCAGTGCTATAGAATGCCATGAGCAGCTGAAGCCCCGAAAACCCCCAGGCTGCTTATTATAAAGGGGCTGGTTGAAAAAAAAAAACCAAGAGTTTGGCGAGGACATGTTTTGATGCACATCAGCAATGCTCTTGCAGCTCTCTTGGGGCTGCTTCCTGCAAGTCCACAGCTGTGGGAGCAACAGTAGTGGGATGATCCAGAGAAGATGCACAGAAACATTTCCCAACGTATTGGGAGGCTCCTACTAGCATCTAGCAGAGAGATTCCCCAGTCAATCAGTTGACTTCCAGGAAGACCAGTAGAAAACTATACTGGAAATACAACCTGGGGAGCAGCATGAGAAGACAAGCCCTTCCCTGCTTCACATCACCTTCCTGTCAAGTCCTTCTCTTCTTTTACTCTTCCTTCTGCCTTTCTTGCTCATGTGCTCCCCAGCAAGTGACACCTCAGTGTCTCTGCTGTCAGCCCTGGGCCACAACAGAAACCTGGGGAAGTTCCCCCCACGCTTCATCGTCTCTGCCTTGTGCCAGAAACAGAATTCTTTAAGTGTGCCTCCAGCATTAGCATTCCAGTATTTGAATCTCTACAGATACCTCAATCACGAGCTCTGCTGCATCAGGGGCTGCTCAGACTGCAGCAGACAAGGGAGGCTGGTCCTGCAGGGTGGGCGCTGGGAAGCAGGAAGCCCTCCACCAGCACCCGCCTTCCTACTGGGCTGGCCAAGAGCTGGGCACCTGGAGCCCTGGCACTGTCACACCCTGCACATGCTTACTAATCTATTTTAGCAGCTTGTTGATGTTGATCAACTGCTCATGTTAGCACTAGAATGTAAAGAAAAGCATTACAGGACACCTATCAGCGTGATGAAATCGCGCATCCTTTCCCCTCACCTGCTACACCCCTCGGGTGAACATCCTGGGGCTCCTGTGGCTCTGCTCACAGCAGCAGATGGGACACTCACAGCTGTGCTGGGACACTGTCACCTTCCAGCCAACATCCCAGCAAACCAGCCATGCCACTGCTGCTGGAAGCCAGGCAGGCATCTCGGTCCTTCTTAGGAAAGGTGGACACAGCTATTTCTCCATGCTGCTGTTCTCCCCTCTGCCCTCCTACCATGTTTCAAAAGGGACTGATTGATTTTTCTGGGCCTTGCACCTTTCCTTAGACTTTCCTGCTTACAAAGCACCACATGGGAGACAAAACTTTCTCATAGCTTGTGGCTTTTTTACATCTTCTGGCAAATGTTGATACCTCCTGTGCACCAAACCAAGCTTACATGCACACTGTCTCTCTTAGCATCCTGTCTGCAGCCCACCAGGAGGAATAGGTGCTAGTTAATAACCCTTGGTACAGCTTGCTCCTGCACTCCACCTTGCACGTCAGGAACAGGCACGAAGGCCTGTGGCACAGGAGCCCTTGACCAGCCCAGCCACTACATTAACATTTCTGAAGGAGGTTTAGACCACTTTCTCTGCCATTCCCCTGTTGTCTTCTTTGGTTCCCTCCATCATTGCCAAGAATATCAGACAGAGCCCTATAGCATCACAGGAGGAAGGTGGCTTTTGCATCCTGCCCACTCACCTCCCAGGGCAGGAGGTGTGGGCAAGAGGTGCTGCATGCAGCAGCAGAGGTCCCAGTAGCCATCCCACACTCTCCATGACAAATAAATCAGCAGCATTGGCCAGCATGAACCTAGAGCCTGGGAGCTGCTCTGCGAGGGCTGGAGAGCCCTTTTCATGGGCCTCACTTCCTCCCTCCAACATGCATTTCAGGCCAGAGCAAACCCTGTTTGAATCGCAGCTCAGCTGCATTCCTTAGGGAGTCTAAAGCCAGTCTTTTGGAGATGGATGTTGTGTTACCTCTGGGAGTGGCTCTGGTCCTTTCAACTGCCTCAGTTTGACATCATGGCCCTACATGCATCAGGAGACAGGAAACAAGGGAGAAGCCAATGATTTGGGCACTGGCTCCAGGAGTGGGAATAGGAATACAGAGGCCACCCTGAGTGGTTTGCTCTGTCAGAGAAGGGAAGCCCCGGGATCAGCACTCACCCGCAGGCCGTAGGTCGTGCCCGGCTCCCCCGCGCCGTCCCCGCTCTGCGCGGCGCTCCGGTCCTGCCCCTGCCCCTGCCCCTGCCCCTGCCCCTGCCGCGGTGCTGAGGGCTCTGCCGGCAGCCACAGGCAGCAGCCACAGGGAGCCGCCGGGGTGGGGG